TAAACCTGGTCCTCTTGCAGCGATGACTTCCACACCATGAAAGTTGAACTTCCTGAGGTGGAGAAAATACACCATTGTCATTGCAAGTCTACACCACCTGGTTTCCGTTCTTGCCCATCTGCTTGCTCTGGACACTTTAAGAATGAAAGCATGCTAACCTAACATCAGACAGTGTCTGTGGACAAAGGGCTGATTTCTTTCTATAGAAAAAGGCTTGGTCTGCTGCAGTCTAATCATGTCTAGTGCATACACGCTAACTAACATGGACTTCCAGCTCGGCCGAGCTGGCCCTCAAGAGTTCCCGGCCCCATGCATCTGTCTTCATTTAACTATGCTGAGCTCTTCCCGGGCCTGCTCATCGTTTCTTCCATTTCTGTCTGTCTGTTTGTTTTATTAGTAATTGGGATTAAAGGTTGGTCGCCCGCTGGTGACCTTGGCTTCAAATGTATTTTGCCAGGCTGTTTGCTTAGCATGAGAGGGAAGCGGAATCTTCTCCACGGGCCTCTCTAATTGCCTCATCAGAGGTGGCGGCGGGAACAGGAAATGCTCCGTCCACATAGTTGACATCTCTCCGAGCAACAATCTCAATTTGCGGTCCCTGTTGCTCCTAAAGGATAGATATCCACAGCACCCGAATCTAGCGGAGTGGTGTGGGAGAGGAAGAGGGAGAAGAGACCCGAGTCTTAGCAGCATTGCTTGTTTAGTGTTAATAGGACGAGAGAAAGGCGCATCCTGGCATTGCCTACAGATCTGAGCCGCTCAGGGAAGGAGGCCCTTTAGAAACGAGGACTGCAGATGCCGATATGAGTTTGGCTTGACGGCGCGCTTTGTGAGTGGTTAGAATATTTTTACTTCTGGTTTCAAGTTTTTAGTGAGATACCGACCATGGTAATAGACAGTGAAGATTCAGATGCTTTCCTGTTGTTAGCCATAGCTCCACACAGCTTTTAAACATGGTCGTGCGAGCTTTTTAAGTCAATGTTTTCCGATTCAATTCAATTTAGAAAATAATAGAACATGGAAAGAAATGGTACGTGGCGTGGTTGTTAAAGTTCCTTTATGTTCTGCTGTTTTCTATGAGCCATGGAATCTTACTCTTTCGGTTTTATTTTGAAGGCATGTGCCCATGTGACACAAAATTCAAAGGGCATAACTGTGTTGTTAAAAGTTGTCAACTGGCTAACTTCTTGGAAGCAGCTAGTATTTCTTTTCTACATACAGCTTCAGAACTAAGCTACAAATGAAAGCTATCTCTGTCTGTTTGTCCGTCATCCACCCATCCATTCATCTACCTATCCATCCATGTACCCACTCACCCACCTATCGTCCATCCATCCATCCATCCACCCCCCCCCATCCATCCATCCATCCATCCATCCATCCATCCATCCATCCATCCACCTATCCACCCACCTATCCATCCATCCATCCATCCATCCATTTTTGAATACAAAATGTTCTTCAAAAAAATGGCCTGTATGCTAAAGGCTCGGTCCCATAGCAATGTTTAGTTGTGACTTTGGCTTCATCATAGGATTATTCTATTGGTGGATGACATGATCTGATGGCATTACTGGGATATGGGATATGGTTCCTAGTCCGAAAGGGGGGCCGTGTCGTGTCTTCAGCCATTATGAAGTAGGCTTCTCTGCCCTCTTGCATGCAGCTCTGCTTCACAACAGGCCTACAGCCATGGGCCACAAACCTCTGCAACTAGGAAGGAGGGAGTTTAAGCCAACTTCCTTTGAAGTTGTTTATCCTGAATTTTGTCACGGTAATGAAAGGCCGATTAACACACCTTTGTCATTGTAGTATTGTATCTGGGCTGTATCGCATCCTACTTTTTCCACCTGATACTGTAGATGGACTTCTGCAGTAGTCCACGAGGGGCTTCTGTATTATTTTTCACAGATGCAGAATATGCCATTTTACATAGAGATGTACTAAAATTT